CGCTGCTGGCGGAAAACCGAGGGGGGTCACTACCGGTTCACACCCCTCCCCCCCCCCCCCCCCCTCCGGAAAAACCGGGGGGGGTCACTACCGGTTCGAACCCCTCCCCCCCCCCCCCCCCCCAGTTCATCATGAAAAGGGGGGGGGGGGTCACTACCGGTTCGAACCCCCCCCCCCCTCGAAAACCGAGTGGGGGTGCGGACAGTGGTGGGGACGGTGTTGGTGGGGACAGTGGCGAGGGGACAGCGGGACAGTGGTGGGGACAGTGGGACAGTGGGACAGTGGTGGGGACGGCAGTGGTGGGGACAGTGGTGGGGACAATGGTGGGAACAGGGGCGACAGTGGACAGTGGTGGGGACGGTGGTGGTGGGGACAGTGGTGGTGAGGACAGTGGGAATGAGGTGGAAACAGTGGGATAATGGAAGGTACAATGGTGGTGGGGACAGTGGTAAAGGCGGTGGCGAGGACGGCGGTGGGACAATGGGACAGAGGTACAGTGGGGACAGTGGTGGGGACAGTGGGGACAGTGGTGGGAACAGTGGGACAGCTCAGTGGGACAGCGGAGGAGTCAGTGGGACAGTGGGGACAGTGGGGATAGGCAGTGGTTGGGTTCGTGGAGACAGTGGGGAGAGTGGAACCGTGGTGGGAACAGTGGTGGGAACAGTGGGGAGTGGGACAGTAGTGGGGACGGTAGTGGTGGGGACAGTGGTGGGGACAATGGTGGGAACAGGGGGGGACAGTGGACAGTGGTGGTGACGGTGGTGGTGGGGACAGTGGTGTGGGGACAATGGGAATGAGGTGGAAACAGTGGGACAGTGGAGGGTACAATGGTGGTGGGGACAGTGGTGAAGGCGGTGGCGAGGACGGCGGTGGGACAATGGGACAGAGGTACAGTGGGGACAGTGGTGGGGACAGTGGGGACAGTGGTGGGAACAGTGGGACAGCTCAGTGGGACAGCGGAGGAGTCAGTGGGACAGTGGGGACAGTGGGGATAGTCGGGCAGTGGTTGGGGCCGTGGAGACAGTGGGGAGAGTGGAACCGTGGTGGGAACAGTTCTGGGGACAGCGGGGACAGTGCGACAGTGGTGGGGCCACTGGTGGGGACAGTAGGGGCGGTGGTGGAACCAGCGGGGACAGCGGTGGTGAGGACAGTGGTGCTGGGAACACCAGTGGGGGATGTGATGCGGACGGTGGTGGGGACCGGGAGTCGTTTGCTGGCGGTGAGTAGGGGGGGAGGGGGGGGGGGGGGGTTCCAACCGGTAGTGACCGCCCCCGGTTTTCGAGGAGGAGGGGGGGGGGGGAGGGGGGGGAGGGGTTAGGGGAGGGGGGGGTTTTGCCGGGGGGAGGGGGGGGGGGAGGGGGGGGTTCCAGCAGGGGGGGGGGGGGGGGATTTTCGGAGGGGGGGGGGGGATCCCCGGGTTCCGGAGGAAAAGGTTGGCAATTTTCCAGAGTAAAGCGGCGGTGGATCACGCTCTCTCAGACCTCCGGTTCGTCATCGTCGCCGTTGCCGCCGCCGTCGCTTCCGTCGGCGTCGTTGTCGTCCAGCCCTCCCTCCTGCCTGCACCGCTCCTCTTCTCCTCGTCCGACCACTGCTTCTATTGGTCCATCCTCCTGCCTGGTCCCTTCTCATCCTGCTCCTCATCTTCAGTCTCCTCCCTCCTCCCACACTCCTCCGCCTCACTTGTCAGTCCCCCTCGCTTCTCTACCCCTTCATGCTTCCCCTTTTTTCGCTCATCCTCTTTACCCCCTTTGCTCATCCTCACTTCTCATCATCCTCTCTTCTCACTCCTGCTCATTTCTCCTTCTTTTCTATAGTCCTTACTCCTCTCTCCTCCTCACTTCTCTCTGATCCTGTCTCCTGATCCATCCTCCGCCCCCTCCTCTCTCGTCACTCATGTTTCACTCCTCTTATCCGCTTGGTTTTCCTCTTCTCATCCTCATCTTCTCCGATTTATCTTTCTTCCTACCTTCACTCTTCTCCCCGGGCCCACCAGAGGTGCACCAGAGGCCCGTTGGGATTGCGACCACATCGTAGGTTCACCAGAGGTCCACCGGGCTCGTAAGCGACCCAGAGTGGCCCAGGACCGGGCCCGAGACTCGCGAGTCCCAAGGCTTCACCAACAAATCCAAAGGACAACTGACAAACAAATCGAATCTTGTCTTTTATCGACGAATACTTGTTGGTAAAGTTCCTGGCGAATTTTTCGCCAGGCCTCTGGACTCGCGAGTCTGAAGCGCCCTGGGGGCTCCCGGGGGCCCTGGCGGAGCGTGAGACGCGCCTGGGGAACCGGAGGAGGCAGGAAGACGAGGAGGGAGACGCAGGAGGAAAAAGATGAGGCAGGAGGCGACAGGAGGAGGCAGGAGGACGAGCAGGACTCACGATGCAGGAGGTGGAGCAGCAAGTCTTGACAAGACAGGAGGCATCAGGCAGTAGAGCGAGAAGGTGAATGAAGTAGGGGGAGGGGCTCCATGGAGCCCTCCGAGGGCACATTCCAGAGAGGACTCCGTGGAGTGCTCGGTGGAGTCCTCGAGGGAGTCTAGATGCTTCTGGGAATACGGGAGCCGTTGTAACATGTCGTTGATCGCTATGGCACTACAGCGACTTGTATGCGCACCTTGTAAGGGTTTGGGGGAACACAATGGTGTGTGTGTGTGTGGGTGACAGTTGCTTCAGTGTGTGTGTGTGTGTGCGTGCGTGCGTGCGTGCGTGGGTGGGTGCGTGCGTGCGTGCGTGCGTGTGTGTTTTTGTGTGTGTGTGTTTTCGTGTGTGTGTGTGTGTTTGTGTGTGTGCGTGTGCGTGTGCGTGTGCGTGTGCGTGTGTGTGTGTGTGCATTGTTTCAGGGCGCTCGTGTTTGTGAGGTGCTCCCATGTTTGCACGTACACGAGTTCTGGATGGAGTGCGTCACGTATTTGTGGGTATGCGCGAGTGTTGTTGAATGGTGTGTTGTTTACTGCTTCAGGGTGTATGTCAGTATGCATCGATCATTTTGTTTACGAGTGCAGTATTGCAGCGCGTGCGTGCGTGCTGTTGTGTCTGTTTTTTTGTCTTTCTCCATTGTGTGTTTGTGTGTGTGCGCGTGTTGTGAGAATTGTTTCAGGGTGTGCTTTACATAGTTCAGGATGTGTGCGTATGTTGCTAGCCTTAGGGTGTGCGCGTGTACATGGGAGAGATGTCCATGTCACGGTGCGTGTGCGTTTGTCCAGTGTGTTTGTGTATGTGGCATGTGGTGTTTCGTGGTGCGCGTTCATACGTCAGGGCGTGTGTGTGTGCGTGTGTGTGTGGGTGTATGTGTGATGTGTCCCAGAGCGCGCGTGTGTGTGTGTGTATGTGTGTACATGATTCTTGTTTGGTCGTGTGACATGTTTTAGGGCGAATGGGTATTGTTTCAATGTGTGTATGGGTGAAAAGGGTTTGGGGCGTATGTAACGTGTGTCAGTGTGCGTGTGACTTGTGTCAGTGTGTGTGTGTGTGTGCATGTGTCTGTGTCTGTGTGCGGGTGTCACCTGCTGCAGGGTCTAAGTGGATTGGTTGAGGGCCTCTGTGAAGCGTTCAGGGTCCGTGTGGCCCGTTTCTCCGCTATCGAAAGTTTCCGAAGTCGTCACCTTGCCTCGCATTCTTGTCTCTTTTTCCATGTTACGATCGTCCTCGCTTTCTTGCGCATCCTCCTCATTGATGCATTTTTTTGCGCCACACGTGCACCACATATGTGTCCTCACGCGATGGCACAGGCACACGCACACGAAGCACAGTGGTCACTGACACCAGCGTACAGGAAAATATGCCAAGATTTCTCGTCCAAGTCCCCGTACACAGAGCGGGGAGGGGGGAGGGGGAGGGGGAGGGGGGGCAGGAGGAGAGGAGGGAGGGGGAGGGGGGGGAGCGGGAAAAGAGAGGGGAAGGGGGGAGGGGGAGGGGGGAAGGAGGGGGGGGAGGGGGGGGGGGAGCAAGTCTACGGGAAGATGGGCAAGTGCCCGCACGAGAGGGGGGAGGGGGGGGGCAGAGGAGCCAGCAGAGCGAGAGGGCCCGATGGAGCCACCATGTGCTTCCGGGGTGCCCAAGGAGCCCCAGGGCTTCGTTGAAGTCGGGCCTGACCCTCTACAGGAGGCATGTTCGAAGATAGCCAACCCATAGTCTGGGAGCTACTTTTCGATCGTGTGTCGAACATGTGCGAGCATGTCGGGGGTATCTTCTATCTGTCGCCCGAAATCCCCCTGTATGGGGGGGGCATGCCCGACTTCAGGCTTCGTGGGCATTTTTTGTTTTGTCTCGCGAACACATGGGAACCCACTGGAGCCCCCGCGTGGCCCTCAGAGAACGCGCAAGGAGAACCCGAGGATGACCCCGGGCCGGTCGCCGGAGGCCCCCCAGGCTCATTTTTCTTGCACATCCGTGTGCGAAGCCCAGCGACAAGAGGCAGGGAGCGAGGAGAGGGAGGAGGAGGAGAGGGGTAAAGCACGAGGCAAAGGGGGAGGAGGAGGGGGGAGGAGGAGGAGGAGGAGGGGAGGAGGCGGAGGAGGAGGAGGAGGAGGAGGAAAGAGTTGGGCCACTCCCTCGCCATCCCTCACCGTCCCTCCCCTTCCGTCCCGTCCTCCCCGCTCCCCTCCGTCACTCGCTCCCTGCTCGCTCGCTCGCTCGCCTCCTCCCCTCGCCCTGCGACCCTCCCCCTCTTCGACCCCGCATCCCCTTCCCTATTTCTCGGGTTCATTTCCCTTCCCCCTCCTCCTCCCCTCTCTTCCCCAGACCCCCGACGTCGCGATTTGTTCGTGCCGTCGACCCCCAGAGGTCTCGACCCATTCCCCGGGACAGGTTTCTCGTTCTGAGTCGTTGTTTGACGGCCCAAAGGCCCGGCAGGGGCCCCCAGAGGCCGAAAATAGCGAAAAACCTCCCGTCGTGATTGTTTCACGACGCGAGGGGGTCTGGGCCTCTCTCTCTCTCTCTCTCTGTCTCTCTCTCCCTCTCTGTCTCTTTTTCCCCTCTCCGTCCCCCCTCCCGACTTGAAGGTACGGCCTGATCCACTACGGGAACGCTTTCAAGGACAGCGGCTTCGACACGCTGTCTTCGGTGCGCCCGGCTCCAGTTCACTTGTGGGCGGGCAGGCAGGTTGGACGTCCCCGCCATTCTTAAGTCGGGCACGTTCCTCTACAGGGAGAGAGTTCAAAGATCGTAAAACAATAATATGAGGACGATGTTTCGACCATGTTCGAATCTGTTTTGATTTTATTTTTGTTCCTCAAGACTTCGCCTGTAGGAGGACATGCCCGACCTGACTCCAGTTCACTTGTGGGCGGGCAGGCGGGTTGGAAGTACCCCGTCACTCCCCCGTGACGTCCCCTTGCCACTCCCCTCCCGCACGAGGCCTGCTACAGTTCAAAACGGGCGTCGGTGGTGCATCCTTCGACCCGGGGCACCTTCTACAAGTGTTCTGCTTCCTCGTTCCCAGGGCTATCGATCCTTATGACCTGGTTTGGGCTGCATGTGAGCAGTGTCCTTCTCTCTGCGTCCGCACTTTGCCGTGGCGGGCTGCCTGCCTGGCAGTCCTGGCCCCCCGCGCTTTGCTTTGCAGTGGCGGGCTCCGCTTCTTCACTCTCGAAAGAGCTGAGCACCCTGGGTGGAGCCAGGGGGGGAGGCGGGCGGGGGGGGGGCTCGAAACCCATCCCTCAACTGTCCAGTGAGGGAGAGGTTTCGAACCATCCCCTGGGCGCTGCAAATGACGACGAGAACGACGACGGGGACGACGACGACGACGACGACGACGACGACGACGACGACGACGACGACGACGATGTGTCGCCTGCAAACGACGACGAGGGCGACGACGACGACGACGTGTCCCGCCTGCCCGCACGACCGACCCGCCACGACGACAACTACGACGGCGAGTGCGATGGCGAAGGCGAAGCCGCACCACGACGAAATGTCCGGCCCGACCGACCGACTCGCCGACGGCGACGGCGCCGACGGCGACGACGATGACGGCGACTGCGATGGCGACGGTGAACGACGACGTGTCCTGCCCGACCGATCGACTTGCCGACGACGAAGTCGACGATCGCGACGTTGACGGCGACGACAATGGCGACTGTGATCTCGCCGTCGTCGACGTCGTATGCCAGTGGCGAGGAGGGGGGGCAAGGGTCGAACCGCCGCCCGGATTCTCGTGAGGGGGTGGGGGTTCGGGGTGGGGGTGGGATGTTGGGGAGTTGGGTCCCTGCTCCGGAGAGCGGGAGGGCGGATTTTCGGATGGTGGGGTCCCGTTTTAGAGGAGTCAGGCGGATTCTGCCACCAGAAGAGCGTATACAGAGGAGTCGCGAGTTGGCAGAGGAATTGCGATTCCTGGAGATGGCTGCGGGCGGAGGCACTGCGTGCCAGTCAGGGGGCTGTTCGGGGAATGATTTTGTTGCGTGCGCCCCGCCTCATTCGAGGGCCTCGATGGCTTCGAGGTCAGGTCGGGTACCACTTGGGCAACTCGGGGCCCTGGCCTTTCACCTGTGGTGGTCCTGCCCCGTGAACCATCCCTGAATCACCACCCACCAAACCACCCCAACCCAACCCGAAGGCCCAAATTTATCCTCGATTTCCAGTGGGGGGGGGTCGGGGAACGTTGAGAAAACACATGGTATCCGTACCCCCCCCCAACCCGAAATTCGGGTCAAATTCGGGTCTTCGGGTTGGGTTGGGGTGGTCTGGTAGGTAGTCACTGAAGGGGTCACCCGCACCTCGGTCTGCTCACGGCGTTCTGAGCTTTCGGTTCTGCGCCGGAAATTCTCAGCACCGGGCTCAGCAGAGTGGGGGTCCAGTCCGCCGAGGTGCAGCTCATGACCGAGCAGGATATGCGCGACGAGTGCGGCATGACAAGGGAGGACTGCGAGGCCGGTCAGCGCGGGTTGGTTCGCCGCGCGAGGGGGGCCGGAGGAGGGGTTGGCGGAGGCCGAGGGGTTCCAAAGAAAAGGAAAGGGGGGAGGAGGACACGCAGGGATGAGGGGGATAATTCTGTACACATTGAGTATCCCCACCAGCGCATCCAGGCACGATTGGAGGCTTTCTTGAGGTCTCTTGGAGGCTATCTTGAGCCATGCTCGGCTAGAGGCTGTCGGAGGCTATCTTGCGCCATGCTCAGCTATTTGGGGCCATCTTGAGGCTGACTTGAGGCCTTTTGGAGGTCTGTCGGAGGCTATCTTGAGCCATGCTCGACCTCCTGGAACCATCTTGGGGGTAGGAGGAAGAGAAGGAGGAGGAGAAGGAGCAGGAGGAGGAGGATGAGGAGGAGGAGGAGGAGGAGGAGGAAAGCGAGAGAAGGAGGAGGATGAGGAGGAGGAGGAGGAGGGAAAAGACTAGGAGGAGGAGGAGGAGGAGGAGGAGGAGGAGGAGGAGGAGGAGGAGCGCGGCAGGAGGAAAATGAGGTAGAGGAGGGAGGAGGCAGGAAATGAGCAGGGAATGAACGGACGATGACAAGGAGGATGAGAAGTCGGGTTTTGGAGATATGTTGTTGTGAGAGGTTCTCGAAGGACCCCCGAGGCCATCTCAGGGGCTCTCTTGGGCTCCCCGTGGGGCCTCTGGGGGGCACTCTTGGGACCCGCTTGGGGCTCTGTTTGGTAGGCTTGGGGCCTTCCTGGGTTTTTTTTGGAGGGGTCTGGGAAGCGGGCACTTCGGGTTCCCCCCTTCGGAGGCTCAACACTGGCCTCTTGGGGCCCTTCTGGGCCGCTCTCGGCGCGATCTTGGGCGCTTCTGAGGCCCTCTTGGCCCACTCTTTGTTGGGGGGGTGCTCTCTTGGGCCGTCTTGGGACCTGAGGCCTCAATAACCAATCGGAGGCCCTCTTGGGCCACTCTTTTTGGGTGGGGTCTCTCTTGGGCCGTCTTGGGGCCGTCCTTCCGAGGCCTCAACAACCAATCGGAAGCGCACAAGCGAGAAGGCAGACACACATGTGTTGTCCTTGAGTTTCGAATCCCATATTGAGCCATCTTGAGGTATCTTGATCCATCTTGGAGGCCATCTTGGGCTCGCGGAGGCCCTCTTAGAGCCATCTTGGAACAACGAGGACGATCTGGCACCTCCCGTCCCCCCCTCGAGGTTCAGGGGAGGGGATTGTGGGAGGGGTCAAGACACCCTCCCAGCCCGGAAGCCGTCCCGCTCACTCCCACCCGCCCTCCCAACACATGAGTAGCACTTGAGCCGCAGCATGGAGGCACGTGCGCCATGTGTGCCGCATGCTCCAGACGCGTCAGGTGCGCCATGTTCGGGGCACGCGCAGTGTGCCAGTTGCGCCTGCGCACGTGGCAGTACACATCGGGAAACGTGTCCGCCCCAACACCCTTGTCGAAGTCGAGTGCGCAATCGCGGTGGGGTGACCATCATTCATAGTGCCTGGTGGGCCTGCACACAGCAGGCAGTCTGTCAACACCACCGCCGTCCCAGTCAAAAACCAATGCACAGTGATGGCGGGGTGCCCGCGCATAATCCAGAGCATGCCTCGAAGTGCATGTCGTATTGCTCTTGTGACAGAGATGATGGTCCTGCGTACAGCAGGCAACATGCGTACCCTCCACCGCTCCTGTCAAGAAAAACAATGCAAGGTGCTCGCGCCCGCCCGATCATGACCCAAGATTCTGCCCCGAAGTGGGCTTCACATGGCTTGAGTTGACAGGGGTGGTGGGTGGTGGATCCTCATGGGTGCTTGTTGGCTGCCGGTCACCCGGGAGAGGATATGTTGTTCATCGGCAGGGAACAATGGTAAACCCCTCCCCCGAGCAGCGCAAGGAGGAATTGTGGACGAGAGGACGCACAAGTTCGTTAAACCACCTACGCCCAGAGGGCAGGTGGGATTAGAGCACGGGTCGGGTTTGGCTGGGATCCCAGGTCAGGGGACCCCGTTAGTGGTAGGGCCCCGGAGCCCTTGAATGGGCCAGAATCACTAGACCAGGTTTGCCATAGCTGGTGTTTTTTTCGGGTGACGGCAATTCCGGTTCGTGGAATGGGACGGGGGGGGCGTCCCCGGGGCAGATCCTTAAGCCAGGTCCCACTAAGCCCAGTTCTGCCAAGGCCCGAACGGGGGACGGCGGGGAGGGGCAGCAGCTTCAAGAGCGGGGAGGGCCTTGTGGAAGGAGGAGGGGGGCAGCGAACGCTTGACAGCGAGGAGGGGGAAGCTGGGCCCCTGGCGCCAACGTTGGGTGCGAGCGGGGGCAGGCTCGTTGGCCCAGGCCAGGTGCACGCCGGCCGTTGAAGGTAGGTGTTTTTGGATTCCCAGGTTCCAATCTGCTTCAAGCGCCTTCCTACTTCAAGAATCGGCCTGCTTTTGCTGTGTTTTGTTGTTCTCTGGGAGGGGAGGGCCTGGACCCAATCTACCATATCCGCCTTCCTACTTCATGCTTCTACCTACGTCTTCCGACCGACGTGTCATGATTCAGCCGTTGGCAGGGCTTTGGAATGATGGATGACTTGCAGAGGCCCTTCGAAACTGTTTCACGTTGCGTGCCACATCTTATGCGTGAGCCGTGCGCTTCGAGCTCAGCCGTTAGGGACCGCATCGGAAGTGAACCTCGGAGGGGCGCTATTGTGTGTGGCAGATCGGTTTCGAATACGACCGGCGACGTTTGAGGAGTGCAAGCAGACTCTGGTGGCAAATCTTTTGAAGTTGAGCGAAACTGCTGCTGTCTTCCCACGGCGTGAGAGAACGTAGCGCGGCTGCTCTGACAGCCCATAAACGCGGACCACCCCGTCACGTTCGCCCAGGGAGGAGAAGACGGAGGGGTGCTTGACGTCTGCAGGTGCTCACGAAGGCCATCGCGATTGAGGCGGCTGGCGGCGGCAAGGGCGGCTCGGAGGCTCCCGGCGCGCAGCATGCTGCGCCGCAATGCGGGTAATGCGCGCCAGCAGGTCGCTGTGAGTGACGACATGTTGACCACCGTTGATACCCCCTTTCGGTTCGGATCGAGGAATCTGCCAGGATGGTGCCCGTGATGGTTTGGGGGCGGATCTTGCAAGGGTTTGGACCAGGCTTCACGAGGGGGAGTAGGAGGACCAGGGGCTCCCAGGAGGGCGCGAAGTTATTCGCGCTTCGCGCTTCGCGGTCCTCGTTCCTTCTCCCCCTCCTCCTCGTCCTCCTATTCTCCCTTTGGGAGAGCGGCGCGAGAGCGCGAAGTTATTCGCGCTTCGCGCTTCGCGCAGCGCGAAGCGCGAAGTTGGGAGCCCTAGAGGAGGAGGGGGAGAAGGAAGAGGAGCACTGGACGGCCTGTCGTGTGAATGCCATTTCTGTGTCTTGGGGGTCCAATTGCCTCGCACTGTGTGCGCGTGGGTTGCACTGTTGATCACTCCACTCCTCTTTCCAGCCCTGAGGCCTCCATTTCCCCCGACTGGCTAGCATCCTTCGGACTCCAGCTTTCATACGTGTCCGACTCGGGGTCCCACCCCGGCGTCCTCATCTCCAATTTCGGCGCCCATGTCGGCACCCCCATTTCTCCGACTCCGGCAACCATCCTTCCGACTCTGGCTAACATACTTCTCCGATTATGCCCCCAATTTGTTTGACATTGTCGTTCTCTTTTATTCGAGTGAGCGGGCCGAACGGTCATTCATTGTCCCTGGGTGCGTGGCTGAAGTGGGATTCCGCGATACGGATTATTGGTTTTTCTTTGTCGCTTGTTGTTGTTATTTGTTTTGTTACTGTCGTTGCTGCTACTGCTGTTGTTGCTGCTGCCGCTGTCGTTTGGCGTCGTCCCCCCCGCGACCCGGCCCGCGACCCACCCGCGACCCACCCGCGACCCACCCTGCGACCCACCCTGCGACCCACCCTGCGACCCACCCGCGACCCACCCGCGACCCACCCCGCAACCCGCCCGCGACCCACCTGCGACCCACCCGCGACCCACCCGCGACCCACCCGCGAGCCACCCGCGACCCGGCTCGCGACCCGGCTCGCGACCCACCCGCGACCCACCCCGCGACCCACCCACATTGTTTTAACGGAAAATCCGAGCCTGTGGTGGGCTCATTGTGTAACTTGTCGAAATTGGGCGCCTGCGGCGGGCTTCTTCAGAGCCTCGCAGTCTGCCGACGTCCCCGCCGCCCCCTCACTCTTATCCGCGACCGCGGGGGGCTACGTGCATTGGGCACACTTGTTCTTATTACTCCGTGTCCGATTCCGGATTCTGTATTTTGGAGTCTCTTTTTTTGACTCTCTCCGATTGGTTATGCGGTTCACGATCGAGTGCCTCCCGAGTGCGAAGCACGATCGAGCGCCTTCGAGCACCTCCCGACTGTATATTGATCTCTCTCTCTCTCTCTCTCGGGTTGACTATGTGATTTCCGATCGAGTGGCTCCCGACTGCGAAGCACGATCGAGTGCTTTCGAGCGCCCCCCTGACTGCAGCACGGTCGATCGCGTTACGAATTGCGCAGCACGATCGAGCGCAGCAGACACGCCAGGTCCACCAGAGACGCCGGCTCCGACGTTGGCTCCGTGTTTTTATCAGGCTCGTGTTTGTCGGCAGTTTCTCTGCTTGTCGTGTGTTTCGTTCGCTGGGTTGTTCGTGTTGTTTGTCTCGTGTATGATTTGTGGACCTCGCCGCCGCAAGGATGCTTTGTGTAGAGCGTCTGGCGGGCATGCGGGTCAGGACTCTGGGCCACTCTCGGGGCAGTCGGAGCAGCGCCGCAGGGTGGTGCAGGACTTCCGGGGGGCTCGGGGCGTTTCGGAGCAGGGCCGCCGGGGCACGTGAGACGCTTGTCTCCACGGAAGCTCGAGAACACATATGGCTCCTCCCCCGCCTCCTCCGCAGTTCCGCCCCGCGCCTCAGGTTTGGTCGCCACTGCATCTTGCCACCGTCCCTCGGACTGCAACACGCGCGCTGCCGTCCTCTCCACTCGATCGGCGCGCCTCGCTTCTGCACCGGGTCCAGTTTCAACCGGTTCGCGCCTGCGCGCGTCGGCCCACGCGTGCACCCCACCCCATCTTGGCGCAACGTCAGGGGGGGGGGGGAATTCGTCGACTCCCACTCGCTCATGAATCGCCGATGGGAGCCCGACAGCCCACCCCGCTTAGGGACGTGCGGTGTTGCAATGCGGGGGCCAATCGCCGATCTTTGGGCCACGCATCGCGAACTCAAGCTCGATGCCCCCCCCTCAAGTGGTCCCCCTTCGAGACCTCATGGGGCTGTCCTGTGGGCTCCTTGGGCCCGCTTTGTTCCATCTGGTCGCATCCTCACGGGAAGCCATGGGGCAACGTGAAGGGTCCCAGGCGGTGACGGGTATCCCCTAAGGTGGCCTCGAGGGGAGAAGCAAGGTGCACGAGGGTAAGTTCGGATCCTTGCTTCTCATGGCCATCTTTCTCCTCCTGCGGCGGTCCTTCCATCTTGCGCTGCGCACCACATGCGGCCCTTTATCTTCCCCTGGCTTCCTCCCCCCCCCGCGGCCATCCTGGCGCGAGCAAAGTCTGCCAGACTCGCAGCTGCAATGGCATCCGCGCCATTCGAACCGCCCTCCAGAGACATGGCTGCTTCGGCTGACACGAGCTACCGCCGGACTCTCCGGTTCGTGGTCTCTGTCGCGGCGGAGTTGGCGGTCCCGAAGAAGGCGTTGCGCGGCGGGCACACCATAGGGGCAGGGTATTTCTACTCTTTCGCGGGCGAGAGCGCGATCGTTTCGTCGGAGGAGTTGCAGACGATCAAGGGCAAGGTAGATGAGCTCGTCGCCGCTGGCGAGAAGATAGCAGCCGTGTCGAAGCCCTGGGCGGAGGCGCTGGCGTACTTCAAGGAGCGGGGCCTGAGCTGTGCGCAGGCCCTGCTGGAGACGCGGGTTTCCGGCGAGGTGCCAGGAGGATGGGGGGGCTGGTGGGGGAGGAGGAGGAGGAGGAGGAGGAGGAGGAGGTGGAGGGGCAGGGGGAAGGGGAGGGGGAGGATCTTGCCAGCATGCTGCCTTCGGTCGGGCCATTTGAGGTGCGAGAATCGAAGAAGAGGGAATGCCATAAACAAAAAGTTTTGGCGCCCCACGCGGATTTCTTGGATCTGCGCTGGGCCCCCCCCCAGAGGCGCCTCCAGCGCCGTCCCTGGCGCGCTCCGCGCGCCAGTGAGGGGGGTCCAGCGCGGATCCCAGAAATCCGCGCGGAGCGCCAAAAGTTAATGTTTATGGTGTTTTTTTTCTTGTTCTGGACAAGCGAATTGCAGCAGCGCTGAGGCTTTCTCCGCCCCTGGGCCTATCCCGAGCGACCAGTTTCGATTCCGATGTTTTGGGAGCCCCGTCTTGCGAGGGGGTGCCGGCCTGAGCCCTTCGGCAGGCGGAAGAGGAGCAGGAGGAGGAGGAGGAGGAGGAGGAGGAGGAGGAGGAGGAGGAGGAGGAGGAGGAGGAGGAGGAGGCGGCCTACCCAGCCAGGTGCCCTGCTACGAGTGCAAAGGCGTCCTCCGACTGGCGCTGCACCCGCTGGCCGACTCCACGGCCTCGCTGAAGGCCCCGGGTGAAGGGGGGGCAGAGAGCAGAGCACGCCCCCCCAGCGGCGGAGGACCCCAAACAGCGTGAAGAGAGCAAGCAGAGTACAGTGGGGGCCCATGCCAAGAAACACCCTGCTTGCCTCGAGGGTGACCTGGGGTTTCTTGGGTTTCGATGGTTTTGCTATGGAAAGCGTGACGTTCCCACCAAAACGTCGATGGACTTCCTGGGATCCCAGGGTTGGGTTTCTTGTGTCAGGTTTCTTGTGGTCGGGCCCCTACTGTATGTACTCCACCGCACGTGCTAGAGGCCATGCGGCCATGCGGAGAGGAGAGCGCAAGTGCAGAGCGTGCGGGGGACCAGGCGGAAGACCGGACGGGTCGGCAGATCCACCGAGCACGGGCCGCGGGCCGCCGCCTCCGGATCCGGTGCACGGGCCAGCGCGTGCACTTGAGAGAAGTGCAGGGCCCTTGCAGAGACGAGCTATTCCAGGGAATCATGGCGATGTGGGTGGGCCAGGGAGGGGGGAGGGGGGAGGAGGAGGAGGAGGAGGAGGAGGAGGAGGAGGAGGAGGAGGAGGAGGAGGAGGAGGAGGAGGAGAAGGAGAAGGAGGAGGAGGAGGAGGAGGGTCAGAGGAGGAGGGTGAGAAGGGACGAAGGGCGAGGGGGGGGAGCAGGGATGTGGTTGTGGTGGTGGCAGCAGGCATGAAGGCGGCCCTCGTGCCTTTCGACGACGCACGCGTCGTGCGTCAGGGGCAGTTCTTGTTTAGATCACCACCCTCCCCACCAAGGGGAGGTCAGACTCTGAGCAAAAGGCAGCCCAACACACGTGCACAAAGAGGGCGGCGGTCCGCGCGAAGCACGACTGGGTGACGCGGAGTGGGAAACATGGTCTGCGGCAACACGTTGGGCCGAGAATTTTGGGGCGGGACAAGAGGCATCATGGTATAACCTCCGAGTCCCGAGTCTCATACTTGCTGGCAATCTTGCTGTTAGCCGATGCCACGGTCACCAGAAGCACCGGCCACGCGAGTAACGTCATCGGGGAAACGTGAGACTCGAGTACAGTCAACGCGCCTAGTAAGGACGCGCGCCTCATCTAGGGCACCCTTGTTGTGTCCTTGCCTCTGAGGCTCGTCCTTGCCATTATCACTGGTCGCCCGCCGCCCAAAAAATTCCAACTTCGGCCTCCAAGGGTCTCGCGTCCTTACCACGCGTCCTTACTATACGTTTTGACTGTAAGTCGGGTTCGAGGACTTTTTGCTTGACGAGCGCGTCCCGGACGTTGGCGGTCCCGTTTCCGGGGGGCGTCTGCAGCGGGAGCCCGCGTCGAATTTCAGGTTGGGTCTCGTCATTTTTATGATAGCCTTATGTCGGGCGTGTCCCCCATACAGGGGATTTTCGACGAG